TCAACTGTGTAACTATGGTATTTTTTTGATTAACAGTAAAAAAGATACGTGCATAGTAGCAGGTTGATATTCACATTCCCGCGATTCACATTATAAAGTCGGAGAATCAAGTTGTAACGTTGGCAGCGCCGTTCCAACTGAGCCTCATATCCAAAGTTGAAGTGTTGACACCAGTGCATTTGAATGTGGGTTGTGATGTTGTTATGGAGAACCACGGAAAATGTTCTTCTTCACGTTAAATCACTTATTAGAATGAAACGGAAAAACGACTCGGTGTTCTATTTTGTTTTCTCTCGTCGAAAATTCGATTTTCATCCCGCCATATCTATATGGCGGATCTCGGACATGAAGGTAGTTTATGCACTGTTTGTGAGGTTATCAGTTTATGTTTGGAATGTGACAAAAGGGAGATGTGTCGAAAATATTGTGTGATGAAGTAATAAATGTCCGTGAATAGTTAAATTCGAAAAGAAAATATTTATTTTTCTCTGGAGAGGGCATGGTGAAGCGTAGATGAAATATTATGTTCTCGTGGAATTCCCGGAATCCAGAGTAATCAGTTTAAGAATGAAATAAAACCCTCGAAACCAGTGTTTTCATGATCGTAACATTAAAAAGTGGGGATAAATCGTTGAAAAATAACAGGAATTGCGGATTAAATTGAGATTTACTGGGTATTGAGGGATTTTGAGGTTAGGATGAGTTCAGAGGAAGCCGCCAGGGATAGGCGGGAAACCGATGGGGGTCCAACAACGTCAGTAGCTGGCAAAGACATGGAGCATTTTAATCCTAACTCTAATTCCACTACTCCTAAAGGAGCAAATAGGGGAGGGGAAGGCCGAAAGGCAGTAAAAATAAACCCAAAGAGATTGGCAAGAGAGACACACCGAAGCCGAAAAAGGCGAAAAAGCGTGTTCTGCCCCCCAGAATTGACACCTTTCTTACGGTGGAAGATGGAGAGTCCGAAAGGGTTACGAAAGGGTCCAACTCGGACCCTTTCGTAAGCAGAGACAAACTAATCAGATCTCCAACTCGCAGCCCCCGTACCAGGAGCGAGAACACTGGTGGGAAGAACCCTGGGAAGGACACTCATGAGAAGGAGAACGCCAACTCAGAGGATGAGGATGACCCAGTGATAATATCCTCCGACAGCAGCTCAGAAGACGAGATAGAGGCATTGTTACACTCTCACTCACAGGATGAATCCCCGAAAACCCTGAGCAACTCAGTATTCGAGGAGAGCTCGCGGGATAAGGGGAGCTCATTTGATGAGGCAGACTGCGAGCTGGTAAGATGTCTGGACGCCCTAACTGCCGAACAGGCATCAAGTCCCCACTCCCAAAGAGTGAGGGGACTGGGAAACTTCTCGAGGTCCGTGGGGGATATAGGTGTAACAGCGGCAACCGACACATCGGCCCAGGCGAATAAAAGGTATATGACAGTGAGTACCCAAACAGTTTCCACACAACCTGCCCTGGACCTCCAGATTCAGGCAGCACTGGAGGGGCTGGTAACGAGAATCACGGTTAAAGTAACCAACGAATTCCATGGGGTTCTGGATCAACTCAGACTGGAACTCGCTTCGAGGGACCGCCTGTGGCAGGCTGAACTTACAAGACAGGGCGAACAATTTACTCTGGTCATGGAGGCAATGAAACAACTGCAGGCTCGTCAGGATGAGTGGAAGAAGGAACTGTGTAGGCTCAGCTAAAGGGCAGCAGAAAACTCTTTCAACAACAACAACAATTACATTGAGGTCCCTCCAGGAGAGTTCATATTTAACCAACTAACCTTTAGGCCCCCGAGAAATTCCAATAAGAACCACGAAGCAGAGGATTTCCTGAAAAGGTTGGAACCTTCAGTCCTGCATATCCCACAGAAGTTGCCCCATGTATTTCGTCAAACAACAGCAGAAACCGGCAGTTCCCGTACCTCGGGGAGCCCCTTGCGGCAACGGCATCAACAAGAATCTGCGACGAACAATTGTCTTCCCCAAGGGCATTGTCAAGCTCAAGCACCCTCTGCCCCACTTTATACAATCCCACCCTTCCCTACCCCAGAAAACCAGAACTCATTGGAAAGGGCAGGCTGGAACAATGAGCAGACAGCACATCCTGAAGACAACCAGTGGCACCAGTTCAACTCACCTCCTCTGTTCCCCCCAACAAACACAAGAGACGGTACACCGATGCATCCACCTTTTCAAGCCTACCAAAGCCCGCTAAGGAATCAGAACTCGCAGTTTTCGCCGACGTGGACTCCAGCAGCTCTGAGTACCGCTCAGCTAAACGCTGAAATGGCAAAAAGATCCCAGAGAAAGAGGAACATCATTGTACATGGGATAAGTACGCAGAGTGGAGACATGGAGGAGGAGGCCGCCAGACTCATCTTTAATACCACGGGCACGCTGCCCATGGTGAGGTACGCGAAAGCCCTGAGAGGCGACAAACTGCTACTGGAACTAAAATCCCTGAATAATAAAGTAAGGATCCTACAAAAGAAAGAAGCACTCCGAGAGCAGGGGATCTACCTTGACGACGATCTCACCAGGAGAGAGGTAGAAATCCAGGATTGGCTCTCTCATGAAGCAAACTCCCTTAGGCAAAAAGGGATAGCGGTCCTGGGGTACCAAAAGCTATTGGTACAAGGAACCTAGTGGGCGTGGAACGAAAATGACAATAAGCTGATTCCCCAAAACCCGCACCCCCCACGAGACAAGCGCAATCAGCAAAGGAGAAGGTCCACTGGCAGAGGCCGTTGGCCTCAGCCGCAGTGGCGGTAACACCTGTCAACAAGAACACCTTCCTACCCGCCTGGTCTCATGCAATATCGACGGGGCGTACAAAATTACAAAGCACTGGAGCTTCCTTAGCCAGTTTGACATAATTGCTCTCCAGGAGACCCATTTGGAGAGGAAGAATGAATTGAAAGTACTGGGCAATAATATAGACTCTAATTTCACATGGGTAATACAGGCGGCAACCAGAGCCAGTCGACGAGGAAAGGCAAGCGGTGGGAACCTGCTAGCAGTGAAGAAAACATGCAGCAGAGGGCTCACGATAACTGAATGGGACTTTGGAACACAAATTAAAGGACTCAGTTCGCGGGACGGTAGGCAACTGGCATTATTTTGTGCGTATAATAATGCAAAGATGGAACAGGTGACGAGCAAGTTACAACCACTAGTAGAAGAGGCACTGGAAGTTGGTGGAGTCTTGCTCATAGGAGATTGGAACGCGCAGGTAGCCGAAAAGTAGTGTGACAGCGAGGTGCTGGAGGAAGTGGGCATACAGTATGCGAGGCATTCCGAGGATCGAACGCTGAACCGAGAGGGTGAGTTGCTCATCAAATTTGGCGAGCGAAACGACCTGATCATCCTAAACGGGGCGACAGAGGGGGACCGTCTGGGCCGTTCAACATTCCTGGGTGGATCAGACTCAATACTCGATCTGGCACTGATTAGTATCACGGAGGTCTCCTCGGTGGTGGAGGAGCTGGAAATCCTGCCAAGACTCGGTTCGGATCACCGGCCGGTGACGCTAAAACTATCACTACACAGCAGTCATCAGCCACCCCCTCCCTGAACAGCAGAGCAGGAAACGAATTCCCCCGGAGAGACTGGATTGGGACGACCAAAAGCTGGAAGATTTTCAGCAGGCAGTCAGTAGCTAAACAAAGCCGATCCTGGATATTACTTCGGAATCGGGCCGTTAGATGACGCGGTCTTAGGGTCACGATGGGTCAGAAGGGAGAGTCTGATCATTTCTTTTGCAGCGGGTGGCGGATGGGGGGGGGGATATCTCATGGTTACGTCATATGGCGGGTATCCAACACTTCTTGAAGCAGTGTCGACTGCAAAATAATCTCGCTGGACCGAGCAAAGGCTTTTGGGAAAAATGCTGTGGCTCGGGGGGTGTGGAGGGGAGGGGGCGTTGACTCAACGAGAATGATGTCGCTGGACCGAGATGAGGCATGGGGTAAGGCTGTGATCTCACGGCGGATATTCGATGGTTGCGTCGTACGGTGGGTGTCAAGGTCGCGCATTTAATCACGTACGCGTTGTCTAAACAAGAGCAGTCTGGTTGGGCCTCGTATGGTGCAACTGGTGTTTATAGGGAGATATTTAAAAGTTCGTCGATCTGATCAGCTGAGAGTGGTGTATGATTGAAATAAAGTTAAAGTGGATGTCTCCGATTCAAATGCAAGAGGATTCATCCGACTTTGACGGTTATGAATATTTTTCCAAGAAGAATCTTTCGGTTACCGGTGTTTCCGAGAAATTATTTATTATTTTCACGAACTGAATTTCCGTTTGAATTGTGGTGCAGAGTTGAAGAGTGGGGGGTCGGAGGGTATAAGTAGTTCATTTCACAAGGGATGCATCAGTTGAAATCATGGAGAAACTCTCGATAGACGATATCCACTTTCTGATCAGAACTGCCCCGTACTTGTTCGGGTTCGAGGAAGTTGTAGAGAAACATTTCGGGGATGATCCACCGGAGCGTGTTTGGTCCTTAATTGATGACATTCTTCTCTTGGAGAGAAATTACGTCGATTTGAGGAAGAGGAATGAAGAAGAAATTTCTGCTGATTCTTCACTGCCGATGTCTGCTGTTATTTCAAAGAAGCTGGAAGTTATTCTGAATTGCATTGAAGATTTAATTCAACGAGTGAGCGACGATTTTGTTGGAGACCGATGGGCTAGCTCCTGGTGCGAGCCATCAACCAGCAGCGGATTGAAGAGGAAGAGAGGACCAGATCTCACGGAGGACACTCCAGCTACACCAATGCTGGGCATCCTCAATGAATTAAAACTCGGAGTGAATATAATGTTCAATACTTTGAAAGCAAAATGTCCTAATAATAATAATACTGGTGATGATAAATAAAAAATCCATTCTCCAATAATTGTTGTTTATTTATGAAGATTACATTGATTCCTTTAAAAAAAAAATCTCATGAAAGATTACATTGATATGTTTGAAAAAATCTTGATTAAATTATATGAGTTTCTTCACATTGCCGCTGAGTAGACTGTACTCGACAATTCGATCGTGTAAAATCAAACAGTAGGCTGCTGTGTTGTTGGGGAAGATTTCTGATGACTCAAACTCCAGGCGAATATCAACCGGTCCAGATTTCAAGAACTCGTTCTGTTTGGAGCAATCGATGACGATGAGTGGTGCAGCTTCCAAGAATTTTTTTCTGTCGAATAGCGGCTCGGGCTCCTTGTGATAATAAGACGTTTGGAAGTTGGTGTACATGTCATAAAGTAGAGCTGATTGGTTGTGTGCAATGTCTAGATTCAGATTTCCATAGGGATAGCTTTGTGAATTTAAGAATAATTTGATCTCTCGAATATTGCAATGATCAAATACACTGGCATTCTTTGTGGCTTCGTTCTTTCTGGCTGTTTGGAAACCGACAATGACATAGCGTGGTTTCTCCAGTTGTGTAGAACACTTCACAACCCAGACATGTTTCGATGTTCTGGGTAATAAAGGATATTCATATAACTCCCAAGCTCGAAAACTAATTGGTATAAGATTGTCTTTTGAAATCTGATTAAGAAGTTGCACTTTTCGAGAGTCCGCAGGTTTAATATAGGGAATCATCCAGTCCATCTTCGTCATGGTAATTTTAAAAGTTTCAGCCCGCTGTCCTCCTTCAAGAGCTTGTTGAATGATGGCATTGAGGTCGTTGTGTGAACGTGTCAGAATCAACTCGTGCTTTGCGTTCACAATAATTCTCTGGTAATCTTCAGCAAATCCGAAAATCATGCTCAAAGGAATGGACACATCGAAGTACCCTTGATCATCGGTTATTTTTTTCCCTTGATCCATCTTCCAGCCAGCATTTTCCGTGAGATAACTCTGATTGGGACTTTGTGAAACAGTTTTTCATGAGTGTTGTCAAGCCAACATTTTTGCATCTATCAATTTCCACAGCATTCAATTCATAACGTATCTCCTCGAATAGATGACAGATTGCATTGTTGACGAGCTCAGTGCGAGCAACAACCTCATTGTTGTCTTCTCTCGTCAATCGACCACAAATATGCAGTGAACTCTTGCTGGGTAACAGGCAGAGGTCTTGATGTTGCACAGCAATACGAATTTCATCATTGTTGCTGAAGGACGATGATGCAAACGGTTGATGTGCGTGCATTTCATAATGAGCAATGGACTCATCAAAGATGATTCGTTTTTGAATATTTAAGACTTCTTCCATGGTAGACGGCAGTAACAACAGGCGAGGACGAAACAGCAAAACTTCACTTTTTTACTCTTGCGTGAATTTTCAGACCCAGACTCCTCAGAAACTTGATATTCTGCGATGTCAGCTGCGCGCGAGCTACTCGACGACTGTCCACTTTCTGGCATGACTCTTCACTTTTATAACTGCTGCCAATTTTTCTCTCAAAGACGATGCCCATTTTTCCTCTCAATTAGCTTTTATATGAAGTCTCACTGTGATGACTTCTCCACGAAAGTTCACCTGACGATCGTCTTGGTCTAAAATTTTCAATTGCAGATGATCTATTGACTGCACGACGATTGGCAAGTAAATGACCTGCGCAGGATTCTCAATGATCTTATATCCGGCGGGGATGCTCGGGAAAAATTCATGAATTGTATGCACACGCCTGTCGTTAATGTAGGCTCCTGCAGTGAGATTGCACTCAACACGAAGTGAATTTACATGAAGGATATTTGGTGGTGTGGCTGCTCGATAGACTGTAGAATGTGCCAGAACCTCTCCGTGGAAACCAAGCAATTGACCGATAGAATTCGATGGCATGAAATTTATTGTTACATCTTTTGGTACCTCAATCACTGTTGTAAGTGTTTGATCATCAGCTTTCAAGCTGAAGGGAATTTTAAAGCTCAATAATTCTCTCTTTAAATACTTGTCGATATCACTGATTTCATAGCTTCCCGTTGGTATAGTCAGCTCTATTGCCAAATCCCCTTTTTGAAAATGGAATTTATTGCGCCCCTCATCAATATTGGGGATTGAATTGTATGTGAGGAGTTGTACGAGTCCTACACTGTAGGATTTTTGCTTTGATAATTCAATAGGTGGAAAATACCAGGCCTCCAGTACAGAGGACCTGCCAGACAAGGTCAAGGTGAATGAGTCACTCATCGCAGCTGCCACTGAACTGATGTGCGTCTTGATCTGATCAGCCCCTTTATATCAATTCTCCAGTGAGAAATTTCAAACACAAATGTCCACATATAATGGTATTATAGTCTTGATAATTTTTCATGTTATATTTCACAATACTACCGCCACCGAAATAATGTATAAGGTCCTGAGGTGGACGTAAATTGCCATAGCTATCAAAGTAGATAACTTCATTATCCTTCTTCTTGTAGGCAACCCAATGAGTACCTGGGCCATCTTTATCATCAAGGTTAACTATGGCTGACTCATTCTTCCATGGTCCACTTTGAGGCATATTATTTCTCATGTAGACACCACGAAAATGCGGTATTCCCATGATGCCTGCATATTTCACCAGATCACTGTCGGTGAGCGCTCGGGGGGGTAGTTTTATTAGTTTTTTGGATTCAAGTGCAAGCCCAAACCCGATTTATAGGGTTTCAAGTACATTCCTTTGCCCAGAGCAATGGCTTCCATTGATCGGTTATGCTTTTTGCTCTCTTCAAGGTCTTTAGCGGCCTGTCGAAGCGCCAATTGCTCTGGCTATACCTGAAGCACCACCAGCTAAAGCACCAGTGGCACTAAGTCCTGCAAACAGTGGGATCAGGAATGCTGGTAAAATTCCACCAATTTTGGATGAAATGGGAAGAACTCTCGACGATGGTTTTATTTTTTTCCTTCCTCCTGCATGTTTTACTGCCTCACGTGCACCTTTCAATGCACTCTTGACCGGATCAACTCCAGAGTGCATGGAGCCTTTCGCAGCTTGCATAATATGACGCAACAACGTCTTCTTCTTACTACTACCACCGGACTTCTTTCGACAGCCTTTTCCAGTCTTCTTTTTCTTCTTCACATTCAGTTTACGATTAACACCTATGCCGATTTTTCTCTTCATATTCATGACGTTTGCAACATTCCAAGCCACTGCCTTTTCACCTAAACCAGCGTCCTTAGCCAAAACTCGTTGCCAAGCTTTATCAACGAGGACACTATCTACTGCGTGTCTAGCTGTCAAGTTCTCTGGATTCTTTGAATAAGTTATATCGTGCTCTTTATCCAGGGGATATATCCAGGGGATATATCCCCAAATCTCCACGTGCCAATCTCTTGGCTAGCTTTGTTCCGGGTCCACAGTACTGATAGCCAGGTGCATGCAATTCAATGGGTAACTTGTTGATGAGTTTATTCACAAAACCTTCACCCTTGGAGGTTTTGGCACGTTTGTTCACCACCATGATCTCTCAAAGACTGACTGGAAATGAATAAATACACTGTATTTAAAGATTTTTCCATCAGTCGTCGTCATGGAGTTCAAGGAGCAAAGTTCCAAGCTGCCTGTCATTAATTTCGATAGAATTACGGATAAAAAGAAAGACAAGAAAAAGAATCGGCACGGCCCACTCTTACCAAATACTGTTCGTGCAATCATATGTGGACCTTCCAAGTGTGGCAAAACCAATGCTCTGCTTGCACTTATTACCCACCCGAATGGCTTGAAATTTGAGAATTTTTACGTATACTCAAAATCTCTGAATCAACCGAAATATCAATTCTTGAAATATTTATTGGAATCAGTACAAGTTATTGGCTATTTCCCTTTCAATGATCATGATGAAGTGGTCAAACCTGAAGAGACTAGACCCAACTCCATCATGATATTTGATGATGTAGCATGTGAAAAGCAAGATAATATTCGAGCATTTTTTTGCATGGGTCGACATCGAAATGTAGACAGTTTCTATCTTTGTCAAACTTACGCTCGAATCCCGAAACATTTGGTGCGGGATAATGCGAATTTGCTCATACTCTTTCGTCAAGATGAGATGAATTTAAAGCATATCTATCATGATCATGTTAATACTGATATGCTGTACACCCAGTTCAAGGAATTGTGCTCCGCGTGTTGGAACACGGACAAATATGGTTTCATTACTATTAATAAAGATTGTGAATTGCATGAGGGACGATATCGGAGAGGATTCGATTGCTATGTGTACATAAATAGTGATTGATTAGTGAAATTCGAGACAGTGTTAAATCAAACGTATAACGCTCAACATGCAGCGCCAGGACTTGCAACAAGAGTCAAGTGTGTTGCAGCACATTGCTGAAGCCAGTAAAGCCATTCGTCATAAATATAGAGCTATAAAGCTTGGTAAAGATACGGCTGAACGTGCTATTAATGAAGCTTTGAAGCCGGTAGTGACACCTCTTGAAAAATTGGTTAATCATGCAGAAGTTCAAAAGCAGAATAACTATAAGAGTCTGATGACAATCAAGAGAATGAAAAAAAGCAGAGCAGATGAGAAGTATGAAGTTCCATCAATTCAACATGGAGGACCATCATTTATCGATGATAATTTCTCTCTAAAAAAAGACGTCTTCCCTACAACATCTGAGGAAGAAGTAGCTGATGAATCCTCTCCCCTAAACAGGTCTGACACTGGGAATCTCCTTCAATTTTATCTCAATAAGTTCGGTACAGCAAAGGAAAAAGAACTCGATAGACAATTTGGTGTTCGTCCAAGTGGTGAAAACTGGAAAATTGGGAATGCAATTGTTACTTTCCGTGGCGATACATTGATGATTGAGGAAAAATCATATGATTTAACTTCAGGTCTCCTGATGTTAATATTCAACAGAGATCCAGAGATGATGCATGTCACGTCAACAGATAGAGAAAATTATGGAGAAATTTTACGGAGTACACATGCACATCGACTGTATTATCATCCATCCAAACCTATCAGAGATAAAAACCCCACTGAAAAATTTACAAATATAATTTTACCGCTAGTATCATCAACTTCAAAAAGTGGTGAAGCTCTAATACCAGACCTGATGGTGGCTCCAAAGACAACAGCCAGGAGAATGGATTATATTCACTGGGATAATCCGAATGAATTGGTGGATAGACTTCGTTTACTCATGGCATCCCAAGCTGCAGGCAATTTCAGTCATACAAATGAAATCCTCTCCATTATTGAAGAATTACGAGAGGTTGAAATAATATATTAACATATTCCCTCACGTAAATGCTCTCACTTGCATCATGAGTGTCGATGTGTTCAGACGCCTGTTTTACAGCAGTAAGACCTCCACTCTTAGCAGGAGAGGTCCACCAGGTGATGGATTTAAACGTACCCTCGATGGAAATTACAGTTTAGAAGGTAAAAGGTTATGTGGCATTGCTGATCTACTGAAAGAGTCTGATGCAATTTCATTGCGAATTTTACGAGAAAATTTGCAAAAAACTGTCGATCTGGTGGAACATAATTTGACGATAGATTTGGAAAAAAAATTGGAGAAGACGATTGGAGAGTTGGAGTCCACTATAAATACACGTTTTGAAAAAATAGAGAAATTGCTGGAAAACCGACAGCGTAAAATTGCAGACACACAGAAACAATTGAATGGAGTCCCAAAAACGAACGATAGCGGAGGAGCTGCATCGCCCAGCACGAAGAAATTATCCAAGAAGACGCGTTGAAATGCGTGGATTGGATGAAACGTGGCAGGCCGATCTCGTGGACATGGTGAAATATGCAAACTCGAACAAAAACTATCGATATCTCCTCACTGTAATTGATATTTTTTCCAAGTATGCGTGGGCCATTGCTATTAAATCAAAAAATGGTAAAGATGTCACAACTGCCATGAACAAAATTTT